TCTATTCTATCCCCATCCCTTTCTTTTATTCTATTCTAATTCTAATTCTATTCTATTCTATTCCCATCCCTTTCTTCTATTCTATTCTAACTATACTATTCTATTCTATTCTCTATTCTATTCTACATTCTAATTATATTCTATTCTATCCCCATCCCTTTCTTTTATTCTATTCTAATTCTAATTCTATTCTATTCTATTCCCATCCCTTTCTTCTATTCTATTCTATTCTAAATGCACCATTTTGATTTCTCTCTTTTCAGAGTCAGCTGAAAAGAGCCGAGCAAGCTGGGGTGAAGGGGTGAATGCCTGGTGCCCAGCAACAGATCCCTGAAGTTCAGGTGGGTTGGAAGCAGCCATGTCAAAGGATGAAGCAGGCTGTAAACTGGCTCCAGTCTACAAGCACAAGGAGCGCAAACCTAAGAAGCCCCATTACATCCCCCGACCCTGGGGGAAACCGTACAATTACAAGTGCTTCCAGTGCCCGTTCACCTGTATGGAGAAATCGCATCTCTACAACCACATGAAGTACAGCCTCTGTAAGAATTCCTTGTCTCTGCTCATCGAATCGGACTGGCCTTACAAGAAAGGGGGGCTCCTCCATCCAGAACTCCGGCTCTTGCAAGCCACGGAAACCTCTCGGATCCGGGAGAGGCAGGAGGAGCCCGAGACCTACGACACAATGGTGATGGAGGCCACCCACTCCAAACGTGAAGCAGACCGAGATGGCGCAGAAGGCAAGGTGACCGAGGACACCGCCTCCTCGGAAAGGATGAGCGACGAAACCAGCCAGTTCCAAGAGGAAGAGGAGGAAGAGGAGGAAGAGGAGGAGGAGGAAGAGTTATCTAGGTTCCTGCAGGAGGTAGACACAGCGGAGAAGAAGGAGATGGTCAAGGGGACCCTCTCCGCCGGGGAGACCTCCGAAGCCGATGTGAACACCCTCCTTTTCCAGCTGAAAAACAAGCAGGAGAAGGCCTCGAAAGACCCCACTCCTGACTTCATCATCACGGACGTGTTCTCCTTGAAGAAGCACATGGCCAAAGGGAAGGAGATGCCCTCCGTGGAGATGGACCCCAAACCAAAGCAGTGCAAAGTGCCCTCCAAATGTTCGGGAAGCGGCGGGGTCTTCATGGAGCAGTGGAAGCTGGTGGCCAACGGGCAACGGAGAAGCACCACCGGGGTTCTGGCTCCGTGTAACGACGGCAACGTCATCCCTTGTTACCCTCCTCCAGCTTACGGGGATTTCCCCGAATCTCAAGGCCTCAACTTCTCTCTGCTGGGGATCAACTACCCGCTGGCTCCCAACCTCTTCTCCTATTTCAGCCCTTCGGTGACCGGCGGGGCCACTTCCCATCCCCACTTGGCCCAATTCCCTTTCCTGGCCTCCACCGCCCAGCTGATGCACCCCCATTCGGCTCATTTGCAACCCTTACAGAACCCCGAGAGGTCCACTTTCCTCCCGCGCTTCTACTACCCTCTGCTGTTCGAGCATTCCTTCACTTCGGCAGAAAACAAGATGGCTGCCGCCAAGCTGGAGGCTCAACAACTGCCTGCAGCAGCCGTCCCTGCTCCCCTCCAGCCCCAGACTTCCGCGGACCTCTCGAAGGGAGGCATGTTGAAAGCCCCGGTGCTGAAGACGGGCCTCCCTTGGCCGAAAAACATCCGCGAAGAGCCTCTTCCTGAGCAGGGCCACAAAAGATTGCTCCTGCAGGAGGAAGAGAAGAAATGGCTGATCCACGAAAGGGAAAGCTATTCCTTACTGGCCACTGCTGGCCATCTCTGCAGGAAGCCATCTCCTGAGGCTTACCAGGGTCTACTGGGCATCAAAGAGGGGGCTGCCCTTCTCCCCACCAGCCTCAAGAAAACAGAGGTCCACGGAGCTGCTTGCTTGGACAATGGCGGGGTCACCCCAAGTAACCTGAAGAGGAAGTTTGCAAAGAGTGGCCTTGAGTTGATGAGCCCTGATATGACAACACCAGAGAGAGAGATCTACCCAGCCAGGTACGATGTGCTCTGTTTCGCCATTCATTGGTTGCTGTTGGGTTGCTAAGCTGTGTCTGATTTTTTGTGACCCCCATGGATCATAACAGACCAGGCCCACCTGTCTACCTCTGTCTCCCTGTTCTGACCTAGGCTTCCCCAGCAGCACGAAGCCGAGTCCTCGTCCCAATAAAACCCTTTTATTTAATTTACAGTGAATTTATCTTCAGCAAAGTCTTTCCTCTCCACAGTCTTTCAAGATAGTTCACAATTACTGACCCTTATCAGGCTTGGAGAGCGGCCAGGCCGATATCTTTCAGATGCCGCGATACTTGGCAAGAATGCAGGAATGAACTAATTGTTTCCTGCAAACTCCACTCCCCTGGTGCTCCTCTTTTATTTCCTCTGGGAGGGGACATTCAACGTCCACCTGTGGCCTTATTCCCAAGTCGACCCCTCTTCCTTAGCTGTTCCCTTCGTCTGGCAACTCTGTGCATGCGCACACTGGGAACAGGCTCCAGCTCTTCAGCTGCCTCACTGATGTCTGACTCCAAAGGCAGCTGATAACTGGCATATGGCCCTGACCCCATCTCTGCCTCCAACACAGAGCCCTCATCAGAGTCTTCCCCAGACTCCAGGACTGGCCCATGTTCCTCCCCAACCTCCTCACTGTCCGAATTTGCTGCCAGTTCCTGTGGACCACAGCACTCCCAAAGTTTGCCCAATGTATGTTCATTGTGTTGATGATGACACTATCTAAGGATCTCATTCTCTGCAGTCCTCTTCTCCTTTTGCCTTCCATCTTCCCCAACATGAGAGTCTTCTCCAATGAGTCCTCCTGGCTTTTAGGGAAGCCATGGACTCTTGTTAAAATGAGGATCACATGGTTTCTGCTTTGATATGTATAGTATGCAAAAAATTCAGAATATAAGAATTGGGCTTGTTGTATGGTGTGTAATTATCAGCCTGCATTGATTGCAATACTGTATTGAAGGGACGTGGTGGCTCAGTGGCTAAGACACTGAGCTTGTCGATCAGAAAGGTCGGCAGTTCAGTGGTTCGAATCCCTAGCGCTGCATAACAGAGCGAGCTCCCGTTAGTTGTCCCAGCTTCTGCCAACCTAGCAGTTTGAAAGCATGTAAAAATGCAAGTAGAAAAATAGGGACCACCTTTGGTGGGAAGGTAACAGTGCTCCATNCCACCACTGATGACGTTCCCTAGTTGGGTCATGAAACGTTTGCAAGGAAACCAACCAGCTGAGAGAGCATTAATCGCATCGAAGTATCCTTCCTTCCTCCTCCTTCCTTCCAGCACTGATGACGTTCCCTAGCTGGGTCATGAAACGTCTCCAAGAAAACCACCCAGCTCAGAGATCACTAAGGACCCCACAGTCCTCCTCTTCCTCCTCCTCTTCCTCTTCTCCTCCTCCTCTTCCTCTTCTCTGCAAACACCACTCCCTTCAAGCGCTGATGATGTTACCTAGTTGCGCCACAAAATGTCTGCCAGGAAACCCCCCCCCCCAAGCTCAGGGACACCCGTCCCCCAAGGACCCCACAGTCCTCTTCCTCTTCCCCCTCCTCTCTGCAAACACCACTCCCTTCCAGCACTGATGACATTCCATAGATGGGTCATGAGACGTTCCGCAAGAACCCCTCCACACCCACCAAGCTCTGAGACCCACCCACCCTCCATCGTAGCCTTTCCCCTCAGCCAAATCGCATCCCGGGACTGATGATGTTTCTTTGTGGCTGGGCTGCTTCGCTCGGAGGCTGAGCCGAGGATGCTGATGTCCCCCAGTGCATGATGGGAATATCCCTCCCCTCCCACTTGCTGCCCAGCCGTGGGTTTGCCCTGGTTTGGAAAGGATTCCGGGATGAATCACCAAAAGATGGGAAGAGCCACCCACCCACCCACCCCCCCGGCCATCTTTTCTCCCTGCCGTTTATTCGGCCGGGTGTCGTCTGCAGGCGTCTCCGGGTGCCACCTGCATTTTTTGGGGCACCAGAAATAACTCCTGCGGGGGCTCACTGGCGCCTCGCCCTAAATTTGGGCTGGACCCACCCAGCCAGTTCTGCCACATTTTCTCGGTTTCCGGATGTTTTTCTCTTGCTTTTATTCTCCGCCAGGCCTCCCGGATGGGCGGAAGGAAGAAATATTTATTTACTATTTATTTATTTATTCTTTTCTTTTTCTTTCTTTCCATCTCTTTTCCTTCCTTCTTTCTCTTTCTTCTTTCTTTCTTTCACTTTTTTTCCTTTCCATCTCTTTTCCTTCCTCTTCCTGCCCCTCTTTTCCTTCCTTCCTTCTTTTTCCTTCCTTCTTTCTTTCTTTATTAAATATTTCTTTATTAAATATATTTATACTCCGCCCAATCCCGGAAGGACTCCGGGCGGCTTACAAAAAATGTAAGAAAAACACAAAAGATACAACGGAAACAGTTTAAAAATAGCAAACACCCTCACACCTTCAAAACGGGACTAAGAATCGTATTGGTCGTCCCCGACTTACGGCGATTCGTTTAGTGGCTGTTGGGAAAAAAGACACACGGACATTTTCCCCCCCCACGCGATCAAAATTTAGACCGATTCGTATTTACAACGGTCACAGCGTCCCGGGGTGGGGTGGGGAAGTGTCAGGTAAATCCCCTTTTTTGCGACCTTCCGCCACAAGCAAAGTCAGGTTTGACTCGCTTAACGACCACACGACTCGCTTACCCGCTGGGGCGATTTGCTGAACAATGGTGGCCAGAAAGGTTGTAAAGTGGGAGAGGGGCGGAACTCATTTTGTAAACGTCTCGCTTAACGACGGATGTTTCGGGGCTCCGCTGCGGCCGTAAGCCGAGGACCCTCCCTACATGAAAGCATTTTTGCTGCTCCGAAACAGCACGAGAAGACGCCAGTCCTTTACGATGACGGGCTTTTCTCACCGCCCAGAAGGAGAGGCAAGGCTAGCTCAGCCTGATGGGTGTTGTAGTCCAGCACAGCTGAAGGTCTCTCTCTCTCTCTCTCTTCTTCCCAGGCCGGACGGAGGCCTGTTGTCCCAGAGGATGGGATGCATTTCGGAAAAGCTGCTACTGGGAAAGCCTAGTGGGGACGTCGTGGCAGGACGCCAAAGCCGAGTGCGAAAGCTTCGATGCTCACCTGGTGATCATCAATTCCTACGAGGAGCAGGTAGACGGCCGTACCTGGGTGGCTGTTTGACCCAGGAAGCAGTTGGACCAGGGGGGGGTCTCCGGACATGGGCCCTTTAAGATGTGTGGACTTCAACTCCCACAATTCCTCTCTCAGCATAGCTGGCTGAGGAATCCTGGGAGTTGAAGTCCACCCGTCTTAAAGGAACCAAGTTTGCTGGCTGGGGAATCCTGGGAGTTGAAGTCCACCCGTCTTAAAGGAACCAAGTTTGCTGGCTGAGGAATCCTGGGAGTTGAAGTCCACCAGTCTTAAAGGAACCAAGTTTGCTGGCTGGGGAATCCTGGGAGTTGAAGTCCACCAGTCTTAAAGGAACCAAGTTTGCTGGC